TTATATAACTCACTTTACTAGAGACTAGAGGCAAGGTCTTTACAAGGGACCAGAAGAGGAGTCTTTACTAGAAACCAGAAGAAGGGTCTCTACTAAAGACTAACAGTTCCACTCAATGCAGGTGAAATTGCAGATCTGGAGAACATACAGAGAACTTTCACTGTATGTATAAGTACAGTCAGGAACCTTAATTACTGAAAATGTTTGAAGTCCCTTGACCTGTACTCCCTGGAATGCAGAAAAGAAAGATACATCATAAATTACTCCTGGCAAATCCTCGAGGGACAGGTCCCAAATCGGCAGGATGTGCAACATAGGCCCAATAAAAAAGTCAGGGGCCCAAGACTGTTCAACTGCCTCCCAGCACACATAAGAGTAATTTGTATGCATCTGTGTATTAGCATACAGGAGTTCAAGTGACCAACATACGCACTTGGAAAATGAGAGGTAATGATTTTTTAGCCAAGGCATGGGAGGTAACACTTCACCCAATGTACTGTGTTTACTAATTCTTTCACTAGTTCTACACTTTATACTATTACTTATCACTAGTAATACCATTAATACTACTATTAGAGCTAATGCTACCATTAATATCACAACCACCATTACTACTACTATTATTCCTATTAATATTATTGCAGCTATTACTCTTTTACATCAATGATCTTCCAAACGTATCCCAACACCTAAACCCCATTCTCTTTGCTGATGACACAACTTATGTCATCTCTCACCCTAATCTTGCCACTCTCAACACCATTGTTAACGAGGAGCTGCTCAAAATATTGACTTGGATGACAGCCAATAAACTTGCACTTAACATTGACAAAACCTACTATATTGTTTGGTAGCAGAGCAGGTGTTGCACAACTTAACATTAAGATCGACAACACTCTAATTGCCATACATAATGAGGGCAAATTCCTAGGCCTATACCTCGACAACTACGTGAATTTCAGCACCCATATCCAACACATAACAAAAAAAGTATCCAAAACAGTTGGGATCCTCTCCAAGATACAATACTACATGCCACAAAATGCCCTTCTCACACTATACCATTCACTCACTTATCCATACCTTACCTATGCTATTTGTACTTGGGGATCAACTGCAGCAACACACCTAAAGCCAATAATAACCCAACAAAAAGCCGCAGTAAGAATAATCACTAAATCCCATCCCTGGCAACACCCCCCCCCACTCTTCATAGATCAAAACTTACTCCCTGTTCAGAACATCCACACTTACTACTGTGCAATCTACATCTACAGGACTTTAAATTCCAATATTAACATTGACCTAAAATGCTTTCTTGATAGTTGTGACAGGACCCACAGGCATAACACCAGACACAAACATCTCTATGACATTCCCTGTGTCCGACTAAACCTTTACAAAAAATTCAATGTATGTCAAAGGCCCTAAAATCTGGAACACCCTACCTGAAAACGCTAGAACTGCAGACACATTCATCACCTTCAAAACTACCGTTGAAAACATCTTATCTCCCTGATACACCCCGTCAACTAACTACACTCACTCACTACTACACTTACACTCACTCACTCACCCATTTGACTATAAACACAGAAATACGAATCTTAATCTTAAAATAATGAATCCTAACTAGTCATAAATTTGCCTGTGATACTCAATATAGAAACTACGTATTGTGCCAAAACAAAAGCTTTCACATTGCTAAACTCACAAACTAGTATTTAGTCACTTAGCCATAATACCAACTTACTCCATAATTTGTAATAATTTAGAGTTAAGAATTAATCTAAGTCTGCCCGAAATGCCTAGCTATGCTAGGTGTCCTAGTGGCCCCCTCTGTAATTAGTATTTTATTACAAGTAAACCACACAAGAACCAAAATCTGTAAATCCCGCATTGTAATCCTTATAGAGAATAAACTTGATTGATTGATTGAATACTGTTAATATTACTACTACTATTATTAAAGCTTCTTCGTGACTCATCAAATCGTAATAACTACTACTACTACTACTACCACCACCACAACCACCTTCTTACCCTTCCTGTAATGTCTTTTGGCTTTCCTCACTTGTTTTGTTCTCTCCCTCAGTTGTGATTTGACAATGGTTCAGGGTGGACCATAACATTATCATAAGTTTCCTTTCTCAAGAATGGGTTATTTATGACTACTCAATTATTTCTTGAGTGTCATGGCAAGAGGGTTTAAAATATATAAGGATAGATGGGAAAGTTTTTTGCAAAAACAATAAAAAATGCAAAATACCATGGGTGGAACATGTAAAGTTTTTGCATCCATTTTATTTCCTGAAAAGAATATAAGTACAACCCTGATCTTGCCCCCAGTGATTTTCATCTGAAGAAGGTCCTGAGAGGACAGAATTTCAACACATGACGTGACGAGAGACGTCTGTTAATGGTTTTGTAATTGATTGGCAGAATTCCATGCATAAATACTCATCTATATGTGGCTGTAGGGGTTGAGTCATAGAACCTGACCCTCCTCACAACTCGTCGCTTACCTCAATAAGCTTGGTGATTGTTAAGAACCAACAAATAATATTTAACATGGTTAAGTTGTATTTCTATCAAAAAAAGGTAACAGCCATAAAGGCTCATTGATGTGCCCTTGTATGTTTACCTTGCTGGGGTACACGACTGATCGCTGGCTTCCGTGCACTTCTTTATCCATCTCACGAGTCTGTCTCCTCACTCTCGCTTTTGAGATCCCCCTCCTTATCCTGAGCCTTAGCTGCGTCCATCAGAACATAACCAAAACGGGTCCAGGTTCCTGCCAATGGCTGCAATCCATCCATAGAAAAGATAAAGATAAAGATAAAGCTTTATTTCTTTGTAAACGTTACAATGTTTAATTACAATTTTGTTTTGCTAAGTACTGTACAAAGAAAGCCACTGTCATGCCTGGGCATTTTGAGAAGACTAATCCTAATACACAGTAACTACTTAAAACTAGACAAGAAACAGTACATAGTAACTACTTAAAACTAGACACGAAATAGTACATAGTAACTACTTAAAACTAGACAAGAAATAGTACATAGTAACTACTTAAAACTAGACAAGAAATAGTACATAGTAACTACTTAAAACTAGACAAGATAATAATGGTTAACTGCATTACAATTTTATTTAATCTTAAAACTAATGTGAGGTAGTCAAGGTGGAGGTTTATAAGAATAATAATCTTGAGGTCATTAATAATATTAATAATATTAATAATAATGGTTCAGGCAGCAATATTTCATGGATTGGCAGAAATTACAAGTCTAGAGGTCACATAATATAACTAATTAGCGGATGTTTTGGTTGATTTGGCTAATATTGAGAGATAACATGATTTTCTAGCGAAGTCCTAAATTTATAAGCACTCAGGGGATCCTTTACTGGTTCCGGTAGTGTTTTCCAGATCTTTGGACCCTCTATGTGCACAGCGTTTTTGCATAGTGTGAGATTGACACAAGGGATGTTGAAGAGTACCTTGTATTGTGACTTTATGTTCTGTATATGTAGTGCAGGTACAAAAATATGAATGTATGTCTCATATATTTAGCAAGTTTAGTCTTTTGAAAAGTGGTGGAGTGTGCTGTCTAGCACAGGAGCTGGTAATCATCTGCACAGCAGCATTTTGTTCAGTTATTAAAGGTTTAAGGTGGTTATCTGTGGTTGATCCCCAGGCACAATACCATAGGTGAGTTAAGGATATATTAAAGAGTGGTATTGGGTAAGGAGTGTTGTTTATGGTACATAGTATTGTATCTTGGAAAGAATGCCTACTGATTTCGAAATTTTCTTAGCTATGTGTTGGATGTGGGACTGAAATTTAAGATTACAGTCAAGGAGAAGACCTAGAAATTTACCCTCAGTGTGTCTTGATATGGGGGAACCACTTACTGGTATATTAAGCTGGATATTTAAAGTTCTGTTTCCAAACAGAGTGAAGTATGTTTTGTCTATGTTGAGAGTGAGTTTGTTGGTCATCATCCAAGTATATATATTTAGCAGCTCATTGTTCACAGTGTTTCTAAGTACAGTGGACCCCCGCTTAACGATCACCTCCAAATGCGACAAATTATGTAAGTGTATTTATGTAAGTGCGTTTGTACGTGTATGTTTGGGGGTCTGAAATGGACTAATCTACTTCACAATATTCCTTATGGGAAAAAATTCGGTCAGTACTGGCACCTGAACATACTACTGGAATGAAAAAAGTTCGTTAACCGGGGGTCCACTGTATAGCTGGGTTTGAATGGGAGCAGACATAAGTAGTGTCATCTGCGAAAAGAACTGATTTAAGGAGCTGGGATGCGTTGGGGAGATCACTGATGTAAATGAGAAAGAGGAGTGGGCCTAGGACACTACCCTAGAGTATTCCAACAGTTACGGGCTGGATAGTGGATTTGAATCCATTTGCATATACATACTAGTGTCTGCCGTTAAGATAAGATTTTAGGTAATCAAGGGAATGTCCTTTGATGCTGTAATGATTTAGTTTTAGGTGCAGGAGATTGTGGTCGACTATATCAAATGATTTTGTAAATCAATGAAGAGCTCCAGAGGATATTCATTTTCATCGAAGGTTGTATATATTAGTTCAAGCATTTGTATAATAGCATCATTCATACTTTTTTTTTTTTTTTGGTCTAAACCCAAACTGGCAGGGGTTAAGTATGTTGTTGGATATAAGGTAGGATTAGTCACTTGTGTATTATTTTTTCGAATATTTTAGAAAGTAAGGGCAAGTTTGATATAGGTCTGTAGTTGCTCAAGTCAGTTGGATAACCTCCTTTGAGGATCAGGGTGACCCTTGCTGTCTTAAGTATAGATGGGAATGTTGAGGATGCTACAAATTTGTTAAACATTGTTGCAATAATGGGTGACAGCACATGTGCAGCTTTTTTATATATGAATGGTGGCAAGTAATCTATATCTTCTGCTTTGTTTTTAATGATTTAATGATGAGTGAGACTTCAGTAGAATTAGTTGAAGCTAGATATAGCATTTGGGTAGTTGCCAGTGAGGTAGTCTTTTGGCTGGGTATTTGAGTTAGGAATATTATTTACTAGCTTTGATCCTACAGCAGAGAAGAAGACATTAAATTTGTTGGCCTTGTCTATAGGCTGCATGTGAGGTTCATCTGGTTTAGTTAAGTTTATCTCTCTGTTTCCAGACTGTTTCCTAGAGCTCAAAATTTTGGAGAGGGTTTGACAGCTACTTTTCACATCACCTTATGTTTCAATAAATATATTTTCGTAATACATTTGCTTTGATTTTCCTATTAGTTTTGCGAGTACTGATGTGTATCGTTTAGCCAGTTCTTTAGTAATCAGACCAAATCTGAACTGTTTTTCAAGTTGGTGCTTTTTATCAATAGATTTGAGGATACTATTTGACGTGCTGTTGGAGTGCGAGCAAAGTAACATTTATGAAGGGATTCAGGGAAACCGGCAGGCCGGACTTGAGTCCTGGAGATGGGAAGTACAGTGCCTGCACTCTGAAGGAGGGGTGTTAATGTTGCAGTTTAAAAACTGTAGTGTAAAGCACCCTTCTGGCAAGACAGTGTTGGAGTGAATGATGGTGAAAGTTTTTCTTTTTCGGGCCACCCTGCCTTGGTGGGAATCGGCCAGTGTGTTAATAATAATAAAAAAAAAATATTTGTTAGCCATGGGCTGTTTAATCTCTTTTCTGTGATCTGCTTCATTTTGATCAGACGATGCATGTTATAGTGGTTTAGGGTTTTATGTAAAAAAGTTTTGAGGGAGTATGGAAGAGGTGAATGTATTCAGATATTTAGGACTGGACATGTTAGCAGATGGATCTATGTAAGATGAGGTGAATCACAGAATTGATGAGAGGAAAAAAGTGAGTGGTGCACTGAGGAGTCTGTGGATACACAGAACATTTTGCATGAAAGCAAAGTGGGGAATGTATGAGCGCATAGTTACACCGATGCTCTTATAGGGTGTGAAGCGTGGGTGGTGAATGCTGCAACAAGGAGAAGGCTGGAGGCAGTAGAGATGTCGTGTGAGAGGGCAATGTGTGGTGTGAATATAATGCATAGAATCCGTAGTTTGGAAATTAGGAGGTGTGGGGTTGCTAAAAGTATTATCCAGAGGGCTGAGGAGGGGTTGTTCAGGTAGTTCAGACACTTAGAGAGGATGGAATGAAACAGAATGACTTGGAGAGTTCGTAAACTGTAGTGGAAGAAAGGTGGGATAGGGGTCAGCCTAGGAAAGGTTAGAAAAATTTAGGTTCAGAAAGGATACAGAAAAGTACTGGTTTGGTAATAGAGGAAGTTTTATGTGTGAAGGGCTTGGACTTCCAGCAAGCATGCATGTGTTAAATAGGAGTGGAAACAAATGGTTTTTAAGGACTTGACATACTGTTGGAGTGTGAGCAAGGTAACATTTATGAAGGGATTCAGGTAAACCAGAAGCCAGACTTGAGTTCTGGAGGTGGGAGGTACAGTGCCTGTACTTTGAAGGAGTGTAGTTTTATAACTGAAGTGTAAGCACACCTCTGGCAAGACAGTGATGAGTGAATGGCGATGAAAATTTTGTTTTTTTGGGCCACCCTGCCTTGGTGGGAAATGGCTGTGTTAAAAATAATAATACATACATACAGTAGGGACTTGCTTTATGGTGTTTCGCCTTACGGCGTTCTGCTAATATGGACATTTCAAATTATGACCAAAACTCACTATACGGCTCCCCCCACCTGACTTTCTAACACGGTCACCATGCCCCACCCGGTTTGTTTACATTCTCTGTGAACTCCGTGAGCAGCACATCTCTCTATTATGTCTGGAAACTCTCCAAAATTTTGAGTGTTTTAAAGTTATTTCAAGTTTTATACAGCCTCACCTCACTTAGCGATGTACTCGTTTACCGACGACTTGGACTTACGACGGGCTCTCTAACCAATATGCATACCAAAATAATGTATATTAAAGCTGATTTCCTCTATTCTGTTTACTACAGTATACAGTACACTACTGTATAAACATTTAAAAATATACCAGAAATGTTATATTTGGTGCAAAGGTGACATTAAAACAATATCAAAGATGGTTGACACAAACCCACTACCATTATAGTATGCTCCTCATTAAGCGATGATTTCATTTACTGACGAGGTCTTAGGAACGGAACTCCATCGTTAGGTGAGGAGAAGCTGTAATGTATATTAGAGCTGATTTCCTCTATTCTGTTTACAGTGGAACCTCAGTTTTTGTTTGCCCTCGTTTTCGTTGAATTTGGTTTTTGACGACTTTTTTCATCAAAGTACTGTCCCAGTTTTCATTCATCACCTCAGTTTTCATCTGCTGTACAGAACGTGTCCACCTGCCGCACCCACACAAAGCATCCCACGCACTCATTCTGAGTCAGTCTGGCATGGTTTCTCATAGTTTCTGGTAGTGATGGTGGTGGTGATGGTGGTAGAGGGTGGTAGTGATGGTGGTAGAGGATAGTAGTGAAGGTGGTAGAGGGTGGTAATGATGGTGGTAGAGGGTGGTAGTGATGGTGGTAGTGATGGTGGTAGTGATGGTGGTAGAGGGTGGTAGTGATGGTGGTAGAGGATAGTAGTGAAGGTGGTAGAGGGTGGTAATGATGGTGGTAGAGGGTGGTAGTGATGGTGGTAGTGATTGTGGTAGAGGATGGTAGTGATGGTGGTAGAGAGTGGTAGTTGATGGTTGGTAGAGGGTGGTAGTGATTGTGGTAGAGGGTGGTAGTGATTGTTAGAGGGTGGTAGAGGGTGGTAGTGATAGTGGTAGAGGGTGGTAATGGTTGTGATTGTGGTAAAGGGTGGTAGTGATTGTGGTAGTGATGGTGGTAGAGGGTGGTAGTGATGGTGGTAGAGGGTGGTAGTGATGGTGGTAGAGGGTGGTAGTGATGGTGGTAGAGGGTGGTAGTGATGGTGGTAGAGGGTGGTAGTGATGGTAGTAGAGATAACTTCTCCCTCTCTCCTCTTCACCATCTTCCATACACCAACAAGAGTCTTCACTAAAGGTAAAAGTGATTTAAATGTTCATTTATCCATTTCTTTAGTACTTTATATTTGTTTCTCATTGTTTTCTGTATGTAAAACTATAGTTATTCTCTATAAAATGTATTTTTGGTTAATATTTTTGGAAGTCTAGAACAGATTAATTGGATTTACATTATTTCTTATAGGAAATATTGCTTCAGTTTTTGTCAAATTCAGTTTTCGTCAGAATCTCTGGAACGAATTAAAAATGAAAACCAAGGTTCCACTGTACTTCAATATACAGTACACTACTGTAAAAACATTTAAAAATATACCAGAAATGTTATAAATGGTGTAAAGGTGACATTAAAACAATATCAAAGATGGCTGACACAAACTCACTACCATTATAGTATGCTCCTCACTTAGAGATGTATTCATTTAACCAATTGACTGTCGCAACCCCCAATCCTGAGGTATCTCCTGGTGTCGCAAAATTTAAAAAAAAAAAAAAAAAAAAAAAATTATTTTTTCTTATGAAATGATAGAGAATCTTTTCCCGATTGTAATGACACCAAAAAAACGAAATTTGATGGAAAACTGATGGAATTACGCTCTCGCGAAGTTAGCGACCGTGGCGATATTTACAAATCGGCGATTTCGCCCACTTTGAGCCCTATTTTCGGCTAATTCCTATGTTTCAGTCGACCAAACTCATAGCTATTTCTTTAGAACTCCATTTTTTCTATCGATTGAGTATAGGAAACTGCCCATTTACCAATTTCAACTACCCAATAATGTGGTCAGAAATTTGCAATTTGGCCAATTTCACGAAAATTAAAAAATATGACAATTTCAAAATAAGGTCCAGAATGAACAATGCAGACATTCCTGGCTCTAAAATAACATTTTCTTTGTTTATCAGTCATGTCTCCAGGCCCCTCTGATATTACTCTTGCTTTCTATTTTGAATTTTTATTCAAACAAAAAATAGAAAATTTACTATTATGCAGACTACTGCAATACTGTAATAATTGTATAAATAACATCAACCCATTCATGACTGTATATTAGAATGGCTAGTTGGACATTTATTGGACAATGATGTCATTAGTTTACTTTTGAACATCGGCAAAAATCAAACATTTCCCCTATTTTGAGCTTCATTTCCAGGGGTTTTTTATAGTAAAATCAATCAAAATCATCTCTTTTTCTATAATATGTTTTCCATTCTATCAAATGAGACCAAGAAAACGAGAATACAACCATAAATACTATATGAAAATAGACCACAAAGTCGGCATTTTAATTAAAAAAAACGGTCGGAGTTTTTTTTTCTCATTATGCACTGCGTGCTCCAGGATTTTTTTTATGTGGTGCACACTGACTACACAGACCCATTCTCTCACATGTTAGCCTACCAGCTTTCTCTTTCTTGATCTGAAGCCGCTAGAATTTATTATTATTTTTTATTATCACACTGGCTGATTCCCACCAAGGCAGGGTGGCCCGAAAAAGAAAAACTTTCACCATCATTCACTCCATCACTGTCTTGCCAGAAGGGTGCTTTACACTACAGTTTTTAAACTGCAACATTAACACCCCTCCCTCAGAGTGCAGGCACTGTACCTCCCATCTCCAGGACTCAAGTCCGGCCTGCCGGTTTCCCTGAACCCCTTCATAAATGTTACTTTGCTCACACTCCAACAGCACGTCAAGTATTAAAAACCATTTGTCTCCATTCACTCCTATCAAACACGCTCACGCATGCCTGCTGGAAGTCCAAGCCCCTCGCACACAAAACCTCCTTTACCCCCTCTCTCCAACCTTTCCTAGGCCGACACCCCTACCCCGCCTTCCTTCCACTACAGACTGATACACTCTTGAAGTCATTCTGTTTCGCTCCATTCTCTCTACATGTCCGAACCACCTCAACAACCCTTCCTCAGCCCTCTGGACAACAGTTTTGGTAATCCCGCACCTCCTCCTAACTTCCAAACTACGAATTCTCTGCATTACATTCACACCACACATTGCCCTCAGACATGACATCTCCACTGCCTCCAGCCTTCTCCTCACTGCAGCATTCATCACCCATGCTTCACACCCATATAAGAGCGTTGGTAAAACTATACTCTCATACATTCCCCTC